CGTGTTTAGGGGGTCAAATTAAGCTGCTTGCTGCAGCAAGTAGGGGTCCTCGGACCCTAATTACTGATGACTGGAAATAAGACTCTTTGCAATATTCCTTCAGTGAAGCCACTTTGGAGGCTTTACAAGCAGGACAACCTTTTTTACCCCCAAGTCCTGCCACTCTGAGTGGAGTTAACATAATCTCAGTGGGGGTTCAGATTCAGACTTTGCCTAGGCTACTCCAAAACGTCATTTCAGTTCTTTCATAACCCTTCAGATGTGAACTTTTATTGCTGCAGTTGTGCTTGAGCTTCAACTCAGACATTGAAAAACTGTCCAAGAGCAGAAATCGTTCCTCAATTAAAGCAAACATCCCCACAAGATAATACTGCCACCTCCATGCTTGACTGTCGGTATTATGCTCTTTTTATGTAATTCTGTGTTTTGTTTACTCCACATTTAACAGGAGCCCCGTCTTCCCAACAGTTCAATTTTTTATCTCATCAAGCTACAGAGCTTTCTACCAAAACATTTGGGGGTCATCAAGGTGTATTGAGCCTTAATGACCTTCTGGGTTAGCAGTGATGTTCAGCTCATCACTCCCCCTGTCTCCCTGCCTCATGTCTTTTGGACAGTGAACTCCTTATCACTTATTGAGGTGAGAAGAGAGCAGCAATTCGTTTCATGTTTTCTGTGGGTGTTTTCTAACCCTCTTGGATGATTTTTGGAAGGTGAACAACTTTTGATATTATCTCTCACTGAGTCCCACACCCCTGGAAATAGATTTATAACTACTCCTAGACTGCTGGATTTCAAGCTTTTACTCATCTCCTCTGGCATTTCTTTTGATTTTGCCACAGTGTGCTGCTGGTGAAACCTTTTCGCCAACCTCAAGTGTCTATTTAAGGGATGAGTTGATTGAACAAGGCTGGTTGTAATCAGGCGTGGGTTGGTCTGGTACAGCTGCAACCACTTATCAATGCAATTTGGTTTGATTTACTCACCAAGGGGGTGAACATTTCTTCACACAGTTGGTACGAGATAACCGCTTTGATACAATAAAGTACACACAAGAATCATTTAAACTTGTGTTTTGTGTTTATCAAGGTTGTCTTTGTTGTATATTAGATTTTATCTGAAGCACTGAACTAGTTTAGAGCGAGATACACTTAAATAAAGAGGAAACCAGTAGGGGGTTAAATACTTTTTCACAGCACTGTGAATAAAGCCGAGGTCACAATGGCTAAAGTAATTACAGCACCTTTTTATTAATATCTGATCTTAATGATGAATGGAAATGGACACAGCACTCGGCCAGAGTCGTCATCAGCGTGCTAAAGCAGCAAACACTTTCTCGTCTGGACATTAGGTTACTGTGGTGCAAGAAGCAGAAAATCTTAATGAGGGAGGAATGCGTCACCACACACAGTTCATTGCCGGTCAGCAACCAAGTTGGTCACAGTGTTTTGGCTCAACGCGATGTTCAGATGGGGCTCTTATGGCGACAAATCACATGTAGGCCGCTACATTTTAAATGAACCCAAATCAGGACTTAAAATGCCAGATTTGCTCATCTATAATTCAAAAACCAGAATTATACAGAAACAAAATACTCCCAGCAAAGCCAAAAGATAATAAATCCTCAGTGAAGTCTCATTTAAGTGCATAAAAAAAACCTCCACGGTCATGCATCATTCCAGATTTTTTTTTTTCAAGGTTGACTGTGTGGAAATTTTAGGGCAAACCGACTAAGCTCGGATGATTTTCAGTGAAATACAACTTAATGCAGCTCCGCTATGATGAACCAGCAGACGTGATTCATGTATTTCTGTCAGTGGTGATACGAGGCTGCAGAAAGTCGGCGTGCTGCTGATTTACAGGCCTCTTGTGCCATCTAGAGGTTGGTACTGTGCTGCATTACAAAGACTCGGTTGAGAAATGATGTCACCCTGGAGAGGTCGTGATTTAGGAAACTGCAGCAGCTGAATTGTTCAGTAGCAAACGCTGGTCGTGGTGTTTCTATGCATTTAAGCAGAACTACATTAAGTATTGCTGCTTTTTCTATAATAAGATGTAGAAGATAAGTGTTAAGTCCTCTGAACATGGTGACGGCAGTCTGGTTGGGCGCCACTTTTCGTTTCAATAACTGTAGGCTGTGAAAACTCATGTGTAATGTTACAGGTTAGTTCAGAGTTTTCTGTACAGACGATGCATTTACATGTGTACTGTAAACTAACTAATAACCTGCAACTATAAGTAGCTATTCATTTCCATTTAAATTGCATTTATGAAATGAGAGATAGCTTGTACAATTACATGTGTTTGTACAACAAAAATGTTGAATAGATAAATTCACATCAGTGTATGATACCAATAAGATTTAGTAATCTGTATTCATTTTTTAAATCAATCTGTCTATTTTGTGCATTACAGATCATTTTAATGTTTTTACACATGTAAATATCCATCCATCCATCCATTATCTATACACCGCTTAATCCTCACTAGGGTCACGGGGGGCTGGAGTCTATCCCAGCTGACTTAGGGTGAAGGCAGGGGACACCCTGGACAGGTCACCAGTCTATCACAGGGCTACACTTAGAGACAGACAACCAAGCACACTCACATTCACACCTGCGGACAATTTAGAATCACTAATTAACCTCAACATGTTTTAGGACTGTGTGGGAGGAAGCCGGAGAACCCGGAGAGAACCCACGCTGCACGGGGAGAACATGCAAACTCCACGCAGAAAGATTCCGGTGCCCCCACTGGGACGCGAACCGGCAACCTTCTTGCTGCGAGGCAACAATGCTACCAACTGCGCCACCCTGCACATGTAAATATCCTTCATTGAAAATTAAAAAATATACATGCTTACAATTAGAAATTCATTTTGATTTGGAACATTACTGCATTTTATGAGATTGTTGTTTTTTGGTGCCCACAACTGCAGCAATAATATAATTTTTTCCACTTTATTTCATTATGGTTTTACATTGTATATGATGGTATATGATACCCTTTGTCAATGTGCCACTGATGCTCATTCACACTCACACACAGTGCAATAGTACATGCTGTTCCTTCATTTTTTTTTTTTTTTTTTTTTTATAAAAGCAAAGGTTCAGAAAGCAGACTAAGAAGTCATCTAAGGACAGGCTGACAAGCAGAAAATACTGTCGGTTTCCATCCTCTAAGTGGCAGCATTTCACTGAATATGCTGCTGATAAAGGTCCCACTGTTACCGCACTGACAATAAAATGGCTTTTTCATCACGTTCCAAATTAGTTCAGCAGCTTTGGGGAGGACAGAAAGGACATTCTGTCCTTCAAAAACAGGACGTGAACACAAGTCTTGTGCCTGACCTTTGTCTTCGTCCCACAATCAAGGCCAGCAGAGATCGTGGCTTTGCGATAGCAGCTCCAGAGCTTTACAACAGCCTTCCTCTTCCAGTCAAATGTTCCTCCTCCGCTGACAGCTTTAAGAGAATTCTCCTGATGTGTGTGTGGTTTCAGTGGCGTTTGGTTGCTTTCATTAGTCGCGTTTTGTTTTAGAATTGAATCTGTTCTCCTGTTTGTCTTGTTTTTCTTACTATGTATGTATTGTACACATTTTTAACCTGTTTTCTGTTTCACGTTGTTTTAAAAGGTGCTATATTGTATATGTAGTGAATACTAGTATGAAAAACACGTGGCTGTGTGAGAATTATAACATATACTGGCTCTCTTTGTACTGTTGAGATTTACTGTGAAACAAGATCATCTGATTGGCTGGTTGTGGATTTCAGCATTCAGTTACTAAAAAATGAAAGACAGCCTGCAATTAAATAAACCTAATTTACTATTAATAATAAGACATCCCCCTGTCCTATGTATTTCTTTTACAGACACTGACGCTGTGTCCATTTTAGCACCTCCAATTAGTTTTTGGGCTTCAGAAATGATTAAAACACAGACAGATGTGGAGTTCAAATCAAACCCACATTATCTGTAGTCACAGTGAGTTCTTCCTGACACGGAAGCAGCGACGCTGTTATCATCACGTTGCTCACCGCAGCGTAACATTTTGTACGTTCTGTACATCTTGTAAAGTCGAACCCCTCAATCATTTTGTACAAGCTGCGATCTCTTAAGAATAATATATGTAGCAGATGCTGATGTGGTTTGTTAAAGTGGAAAAAAAAAAAATCTGTCTTTTTCCTCACATGAGCCTGATGATCACACACAAATCATGTGGTCTTAAACAGATTTGCAGCATGCCTGGACATGGTGTGAAATGTAGTGCAAATAATCCTGAAGAATAACACAGCAGCTGTCAAAACTTCCAGAATGATGTTTTTCCTAATTAGTGACATGTCTGTGAAGATTCTCAGTCATCCAGGTCATAGTTATTCTCATAGACCAGGGGTCTCGAACTCCGGTCCTCGAGGGCCGCAATCCTGCAAGTTTTAGATGTTTCCTTCTTCCAACACACCTGATTGAAATGATCAGGATCGTTATCCGGCTTCTGCAGAGCTTGATGATGAGCTGATCATTTGAATCAGGTGTGTTGGAAGAGAGAAACATCTAAAACATGCAGGATTGCGGCCCTCGAGGACCGGAGTTCGACACCCCTGGTCTATAAGCTGTGAACACTTCAAGGACAGTTATTTTTGCTTCTCGTGTTGCTTAATTTGATTCATATCTTATGGGCCTACAAAAATAGAATTACTGAAAGTTAGCGGGAGTTTTCCCCCCACTGTGCTGTTATAATCATCTCCTGACCCGTCACGTCTATCTTGTGACCCATCAAAGGGGTCAAGATGCTCAGATTGGGAACCACTGTTGCATCATGTTTCTGATTAAAAAAAGATTCATTTACATTTTTGGTCCGTGGGAATCATGTCAGCAGGTGACTATAGTGTAAAAGTGTAGCTTGAGTGGACTTTACAAGGTTTTGTAGACTCAACCTTTATCATCACAGTCAGTGCGAGCCACATTCAAGACGGAGACGATATCAACAGCCGCGTTCAGTCCTTCAGGTTTGAAAATCTTGGTGTTTTTATTGTAAGTATTGCATCTTCAACTTACACGGCTAGAATCATCATCAGAGTGCATGTTTTACAAAGGATGGCCACAGGTTCAGAACAACAGGAGGGCTCCCTTACTGCACGTGGGACTGCTCGTTTTGGTTGGGCTTAACTTCACTTCATGGACCCGTTTGTTCAAATCGTCCTCCTGAGAGACTGACGCCACAATGGAGCGCGGTTTACAAAAAAAAAAAAAAAAAAGACACTGGAACTCCCACTTCACCAGGCTGGTCCACTTCTGGCCGAGCTGCAAAAAAAAAAAAAAAACCCGGAAGTCGACCTTTACCACAGTCTAAACCTTTAACACGGAGGTAAAAATATAGCTTTGTGAACACCAGCTTATGAGGATATGCTAATGAATTCGCAGCAGAGCCAGAAATGGTTCGTAAGACCTCTAAATCAACTGATCCAGGACCAGTCCGCAGCAAAAACATACTACTTTCAGTGCTTCTGTTTTCAGCATCACAGCATCGTCTCTTTATCTTACACTGGATGGACGTGTCTTTTTTTAAATTTCTTTTTTTTTTTTTTTACGACAAACATCCTCCATAAGCTTGATATTTACTGAATAGCAGGTGGCAAACATGCCCACTGAGATCTGTGCAGACTAGTCCTGGATCAGGTGTCTTTTTAAAGCTCCGCCTTAGTGAGAACATGGACAAAACACACACACTGTACACTCACAAGAGAGAGAGGACAGACCTCAGTAAAATCAGCTCTCATAGTTGGTTTTAACCCATCCTGGGATACAAAACGCTGTACTGTTAGCAGATTAAAACACTACGAGGGTCTGATCCAGGCCTGAGCAGGGAGTGAAAGTCGTTAAAACAACGGGAACCTTCTCCTTTTCCTGTCAGCAGTGCAGGTTCATAAAACCAACATATGAAGAAGAAAACAGAAACAAAGAAAGATAAGATGAAGGTTAATAACTTAAACGGGGGGCAGAATAAATGTAAACTGTCCCTCAGTAAGAGAGAGAGAGAGAGAGATAAAGAGAGAGGACACTGAGGTGTTCTGAGGTGGTTTTGGCGTTTTTCCTTTTTTTTTTTTTTTTTATTTTATTTTTAAATAATTAAGCACCAACAGTGGTGACTTTCTGAATCAGTGCCAAGTCCAACAACCTCAACAGAGCTCGGCCAAAGAGCTCACATGTCAAACTCTACACCTTAATGATGTCCTTCAGAGAAAACCAAAGGATTTGTTCTTCTGTTTTTATGTTGTTTCTTAAATCCTCAGTCGGAGGCCTTGTAAATGTAAGACACATTTTGTCAACTAAAACACGAGTCTAATAGAGACTACAATCCTCCTAATAGAGGAAAGTGGAGTTTTAGACCCCTTTTTATTGTGTAGTAGCCGGCTCAATATTTGCCAGTAAAGTCTTGGCTATCAGTGAGTCTTGTGCAGAATGAACTCCCCTCAGCGCAGAAACCAAAAACAAGACCTCGGAACAACAGACTGGGCGCGAAAGGTTTAGTTTTTTTTTTTTTTTTTTCAGCCCATCCGGTAGTTTCAGGTCTGTATTGAGCGTTGTCGGGGGGGGAGTCAGCTCCGGACAAGGCTGGTGACTCTAAACAGGCGAGGCTCAGCACTAGGAGCAGCTTAGGGGCCAATTACATTTCAAGTGTCCATTGAATAAAACATCAGAAAAAATGAAAACAACGAAAAAAAAAATGGCTACATATTCTTAACCCCGCCCAACCCACCCCAACAAAAAAAAACCCCATAAAATATACAATTCTTAAAATAAGGAATGAGGAATAAGCATCAAAATAGAAGAGTAAAATAAGACAGAAGAAAATAAGTTAACTTTTTTTTTTCTTTCCCCATTTGCTTGTGTTCTTTGAGGGATTGAGAAATAAATATTGACGATGGCTGTTGCTTTTTTTTTCTCTTCTTTCGCACACAAAATGATGGAAGATAGCTCAACATGACGGTGGGAAAGAATAAAAGAAATGAGAACTGTGGCTGAAGTGCAACGTCTTAATGCGAGCTGGAGTTGGGATGAAGAACATTTGACATCGTACAACCCGTTTTCTTCTCCGCACATCACCTGACCACCAGTGGAATGCCATATACAGCTTTTCTAAACCCTCCCATTCACAAGTGATATAAACAGGAGGATTAAAAAAAAAAAAAAAAGTCTAATAAATAAACACAGTGCCAAACAAAATTCGCATTCTCCAACAAAAGTCCTACTGGATCGCTTTTTATCCTGCAATGGGAAGCTGTTCTTTTGTTTCGTATTGAGTGTAACTTTTCTTTTTTTCTTTCTCGGGGGGGCAGGAACAGAATGGGTATCTTTTCAAAGTTTCAACCAGCACAGTAATGGCACGTTCACTGCCACTCTGAAGAGGATTTAAAAAAAAAAATGTCTCCAAAAAAATCGAATTTTTAAAATGCACAATAAAACACAGGTCAAAACAGCAACAGAGGCAATAGTTCTATCCATGAGCTCTACCTTTTTTTTTTTTTTTAAACTCATTTTTAAAGTTTCATTTATTAAGCTTTGTATGTACAAAAAAAAAAAAAATTGCTTTTTTTTTTTGGACGGTCACACACGAGTCTTTAGAGGGAGGTGGAATTTAAAAAAAAACAAAAAAAAACAAAAAAAAACGGGATGGACTTCAAACTGACGAGACAAAAACAACTACAAGAGTTATTGCTTGTTACTGCTGGAAAGAGGATGGACATCTATTCCAAAGTTTGTTGTTGTTTGTGGACTTTTTCCTTGTTGCTGTTGGGGTTGTTTTTTTTTTGTAATTTTTTTTTTCTCCTCTTGGTTTTGTGCCATTTCTATGGACAGCTCTAAAGTAGGCAAGTGCAGGATAGCTTGTAGTAGCTGCTTGTTGAGGGGAAAGAAACCGAAACAAAACACACACACACACACACACACACACACACACACGCACGCACACAAAGTTACAATTTCCACTCTTTGAAAATGCACTGAGCACCCACATTCGACAGGAATGTTTTTTTTTTGTTTTGTTTTTTTCCTCCATTTTTGTGGCTGTTTTCCTCCGTGCTTGGTTGGAAACAATCACGGCAGACACGCTTTGTTTGCTTTAAAAGCTTAGTGGCGGTGGATCTGATCTGCTTCCTCCCCCTCCCATTCCCGTTGTTGGTTGGTATGTTTCACAATAGCACCAATTCAAGTGTCCGAGCTTCTGTGGTGTCGAGCAGAGGTAATGAAAAAAAAAAAAACCAACAAGAAAAAAAAAAGAAAAAAAGACGAGGATTAAATTCAGGGCTGGAGGGACGTTTTTGTTTTCTTTTTTCTTTTTTTTCCAGGGCCGAGCTGTGTTGATTCGACAAAGTTGACCCACAGTGTTCGTGAAAGTCCAGATTAGATGTGCTCCCGGTTATCCAGGCCCAACACCACAACGTCAACAGATACACAGGATCAGCTCATCACACACTCGCAGGAGGGAGAACCAAACGCTGACTCTGAATTGTTTCAGTATTATAGGAATTTAAGTGCATTTTGAGTTAAATTAGGGGCCGTGTGTCTTTAAAAAACACTTTAAGGAAACACCAGAAGTAAAATTAACCGCTAATTTGTGTGTTATGGGTTTAAAAATCAAGATGATGTGTATTTTTTTTTTCTTTCATATCAACCAAGTCTCTGATCTCCCTTTAAAATAAGATTAAAACCCAATTCGCAGTCTCACGTCGCTGTGTCTGGGTCCCTGGTGCCAGTGTTGGTCGGGGTGGCTCAAAGTTCGGAGGCAAAGGAGAGCGCTGACCGGAGCTCCTCCAATGGTGGGTTCAGCAGTGTGGAGGGAAACTAAAAGCCTGGGAGCAGAGAGGGGGCGCTGCTGAGAAGCAACTGGGACGCCGTTAGCTTTGGGAGGCGGGGGGCGTGCCCGTCGTTGGATGACTGGGTGTATGTTTACGTAGGCATGGCTGGATGGATAAACAGATGGGAGGGCAGGCCGGTTTGGCAGGGAGGTGGCGGTCACGGTGGTGTGGGGGGGGGGCTTCTAGGAGGAGAAGGCAAGTTTGACACTGCAGGAGGAGTAGCCCTCATCGCTGGCCATGCTCTGCAGGCTGCTGTGGTCGTCCAGGTCGCTGGTGCTGGCCGTGCTCACACTGTCCAGCTCTCCATGGGAGAACTCCGTGCTTTCCACGTCCACCTCGATCTCTTCTGGAAAGATGAAGAAAAGGGAGAAGAAACGAGATATTAATTTTTTTTTTTCCCTCCTCACAGGAATTTCTTTCATCGTGATTACTAAGAAAACGATTCTGTCCACTGGACTGTATGTCTGGAGTGTTTTCCTTCTTCCTCTGCTGCAGTCATGTCTCCTGTAGGTAACACAGCGTTGTGATTCTGGATTTTTTATTTTTTATTATTTTTTTACGATACAATATCAAACAGATTAATTATACAACAATATGCTATATTACAAATGCAGCACACTTTGTCTTGTATTCAAATCATCTAATGCCGAATCACTGTTCACAGCACTGAAGTGCAGCAGACCTCATATGTAAACTAAAATTCATGAGATAGATGAGATTACAGTCACTTCCATTTCCCACGGCTAAATGTGACACCTGAAGACCAGCTGACATGATAAAACCTAATGATGCCTTTAATATATGTCTGTTAGATTAGATTAGATTCACTTTAATGTCACATCACTCTGAATTGTGTCTTGCAATACAAAGCAGCCACACATATTCACAGAAACATGATATCTTGTTGCTTCAAAATAATCCACATTTGTAAAAATCCCCAGTGAAAACATTTAAAATGCCATCCAGGAAATCTTTCTCGATCACTTTCAGCTACAACTCACTGGACACACAGTCCCAGAGGCGCTCTGACTGCTTCAACCTCGGAGTCATAAAATTAGCCCGAGAGCAGCTGGAGGCGTTAATGGCCGTGTAGTTGCTAAATTAAAATCCTGTTCAGAGTCTGCAGCCTAACTCACCTTGGTCAGAGTCAGAGCGGTCGGAGCAGAGGGTGGAGCCCACGCTGTCCATGCGTATCCTCTCTCCCTCCCCTGGGCTGCTCTGGGCTGCAACTCCACTGCCTCCCCTCAGCAGCTCCAGCTGACGCTGGAGGTGCCTCTGCTCGCGTTCCAGAGACTCCAGCTGGTACTGGCTCTTCCTGTCCACCTCTTCAAGTTTCTGGTCAGGGGAAAGACGAGACAGAGGAAAGGTTAACTGCGGTTACCTGGGACCAGGCTGAGACTGAAATCAGAGCTTCTGCAGGGTTCAACAAATTAACACTCTGAACCTCAAGCAGTTTCTGGGCGTTTTTTTTTTCTTCCCTTTGTCACATTTTTACTCACTGTGGATTCATTTTTCACTGCAATATAAAGTGATTCTATCTAAACGGCACAACCATGGCTACACATAGACAGAACTCAAACATGCATTCTGTGACACAGTTATAATGTCATAAATCATAAAAGGGAAGTTCAATCTCTTGACCTGAAATCAACATCATTTTTCCAGGTGCCCACAGGCGTTTTACTGTTTCGTTTTGTTGATGTTCTGTTTTCATACTTGTGTCTTATCTGCTTTGTGTAAACACAGCCTGCAGTTCAGCCAAAAAGTCCCGGAATTTCCATCACATGACTGTTAATCACTAATGTAAGTGAATTTCTAATTGACACATACAGAAGAAACTTATTTTGATGAAATATCACGATTTTAAGCTGAGATTTGGATCATTTCCAACAGAAAGGCAAAACACAGATACGTAGTCTGAGAACTGAGAAAGAAAGAGAAAGAATAATCTGATCATTCACAGTTTAACTGATAAAAAGCATAATTTTGCCTTTTTGAAATCCTGCCAGCAGCGTTGAGGTTCAGAGGGTTAAAGATTAGAACATAATTTAATGCCTATTACTTTATTTATATTTCTTATGATCAATAAGACCATTATTTATTCAGAACATGAATTTATTGACATTTATTTAAAAATGTTTTTGCCACTACTTGCATAAAAAAAATCATTTACCATGAGCTTGACCCAGATAAGTACAATAGAGAAGCATAGAAAAATGGAAGTAATTTAATTTACATTCACAATCTTCCCAGCTGAAGTGGTGAAAGCGTTTGTTTGAAACTGCATCCTGCAGCACAATCTACTGTCACAACATTCCCACTTTCAGTTTGGAGGTGTAGAACATCTTGTGACAGCTGCAATCACATAGCAGCAGGAGAGAAGAAAGATGCAAGACCTTTGTAAATGGAATTTAGGACATCTTCACACTTTCTAAGGCTTTTTTTTTTTTTTTTTATGTTGGGACTGAATTTATTGCTTTTTAAGAATACCCACTGTAGAATGTATAGAAAAATGCTGTAAGGGCAGAGGACAGCTAGAAAAAAATGAGACGAGACGGAGGCATAGGAGGGTGGTCTGGAGACTGAGAGCAAATGTGAAAAAACATGAGGGAGATAAGAGCAGGAGAATGGAAGCTGGAAGAGCAAGTTAAACATCAGAGCTGAGATACTGAAGGTAGATGTTAAATAAAGGAAATTCCTTTCTTATGAGAAACGACAAACACACTAAACGAACACTCCTCCAGTACCTGTCCTAGCATCCAACCAGTGAACATGTTGTGTCTCTTCGGATCTTGTCAGCCTTGATGGCCCTAAATGATTCCCCCACCTGCCTTGTTTACACCGTGTCGACTTCTTTACTTGTTTACGTCTCGTGCCACTACGATATAAGCAAAGGCCACGTCAGGGCCTGATACAGCCGTGCTGCGCTTTAACCTTGTAGCCTCGTGTCACGGACGCCGACATTGACGAGCGTGACTCCCAGCGACGGACGAAAACAATAGGCCATCAATAAGCGATGGAGAGACTCAAGTTGACAGCAGCAGAAGTGCAGAGTGGTGGTGGGGGGCAACGACAACAATATCGGCTTTATACTTCCCCTCTCTGCTCCGAGAAAGCACGCTACGCTGGGCTTTTCACATACAGACTGCTCAATCTCAGGCAGTCACATGCCTGTTTTTTAAAGTGGATGAGAAAGCGTGAAGGCTTAGAGCACGATACGAGCTTCAAACCTGGATTATCAGGCACGGAAATTATCACCAGTGACCAAGGGGTTTTTTTTCCCCCCACAAGCCAAGACTTTTACATTTTGTGGTAAAGGAAATATATATATAACATTCTGTATCTGACAGCCAACTGGACCAGAACCACGCTGAATTAGATCTATGTCTCGCTCAACAGCACAGCAGAAGCGTCTACAGCCAAATCCTTCCATTACAAAAGCAGCAATGTGCAGGTGTTTCCCTCAGTGGATTTCAATACGGTCATAAAAACAAAATGATTCTTAATGGCATTGTGATGAAAAAAAACAGTCAATCAAAACCACAATAAAAAAAAAAGAAAAAAAAGAAAATGCACATTGCACTCAAAAACCACATACATCTGCCTCCGTCTTAGGAATGATCCCAGCAGTAGGTAGTTGAATCTGGCAGCAAAGGTCAAAATGAATGAAATTCAAGCAGGGACACATTTTTCAGCCTAGTTGTGCATCATTTTTGCATTCGTATCAATGTGCTATTACCATTACTTGTCATTTATTATCCAATCTTCACTGTGTTTCGTTGCTGCAAACTGTTTCGTCATTGTGGTTTTTTTTTTTGGAGGTTAAATCTATTTCCAATATCATCTCTTGTCTTCTTCTTGTTGGCTTAGATTTTACACTTTGCTGCGCATCAAGACCAGTTTTGGCCAAGAGTCGGGGAGTTATATGTACCTTTATGTGTGCTTTGGCTTTGTTGAGCAGGCCCAGGGTGGTGTGGCGGTTACAGTCGGGTCCCAGTGGTATGAGGGCCTTCAACCGCTCCAGACACAGCCTCAGGTGAGCTCGTCTACAGAAAGGGAGGACACACACAGAGGAAAACAGGACAGTTATTATTTAAATAAAAAATAAAAAATAAAAAAAAAAGCTATGTACAACAAGGCAGGGGTACAGCTTGAACTGTAAAAGGTGAAATGCATCCTGGTAGTCAAGCACCTTGTTCAATGGCACCTGAGAAGTTGTTCAGGCAGTTGGAGGTGACTCATTGACAGTTTCTGACTAAACCAGCTTGTGTGGTGACTTAAACCAGTACAATCTACTCACAAAACATCTCATGGAAGTCCGTTGCAAACATATACCAAAGACGTGAAGGTTTTTAAAGGACTGTTTCTCCGCCCCCTGACACATACGTCAAGCGATTTATGACTTATGACATCTCGAGCAAAAGCAACTAGCTCACAACTATTCTTTCCAGTTTTTGATGACCTCTAATGTTGGTGAAACACATTCAGTTCAGTAACCCAGTGCAGACAGTCATCATTCATCTTTTCACCTCAATATAACATATTCCTTCTTTGTGAGAATCCACGACTCGTGTATTATAAATCTGCAGTCTACGGGTCAACAAGATAGCAGTCCGCATTCGATTCATATCTGACATAAGCCTCAAGGAGATACATTATCCTCTGCAGGTGTTTCTCGCACCCAGCTTTAGTTACTCGTCTCGCCTACATTACAAACAACTTTCACCTGGCGGGTGAAAGGGGGGGGTTGATGGTATTGGTGGTGGTGGTGGTGTAATGGCATTTCCTGGACCTCGCTCGGCCTGCGTGCTCCATCATTCTGACAGAACCTTACTCTGTGACTGGAGACAGGCTCCAGGTACTATCTATCCTGCTAATGGACCCAAGTTGAGAGGTAAAGAGAGATAATTGTGGCTATAACACAATCAGCGCTCCATTAGTAGGGGCTGCCCTTTCAGCCAGACCGAAGAGAAAGGGTGGGGAGGCATTAGGAGTCGGTAGATTCAGTGGAGCGACCCAGACTCAGGAACGATCTCTGGGGGAGCCCAAAGGAGACAAAGCCCAGGGGACCGGAGCAGGAATTCACTGCACCAAGTTGCTATGCTGGGCTAGACAGCTCTCTGCTACGCTCTGCTGCTTTAAGACTGGTGGATACATGTGAGTGCTGGCTGGAGTATATGTGTCCGTGCGCGTTGGTGTGTGTGTGTGTGTGTGTGTGTGAGGGGGGGGCTATGCATGGATGGTGCTGATAAGAACATGAGAGCGAGCCATTACGGCCATTACACCAGGACCGCGTGAGTGTGTGCTTAAACTATATGAACAAGTGCCGCATGTCTGGGGAGTGAAACGAGGAGGTGCCCTGATTCAGTCTGTAGGGCTAAAAAGTTTAGAAGTCACAAGACACACACACACACACGCACGTGCACACACACCCTTTTATTCTGGGAGTTTACACGATGACTATCAGTCTGGCTCAGGTCATCTGTCTGTTTAATCAGCTCTATTCACGGGCCTTTGCGGAGGCCAGTTTTCCCCCCTTTATCTGTGAAATGTCTGTCTGCGCGTCTCATCTGAGCCCCTCATCTGCACGTACGCAGACATCAGCTGCCACTTATTCACATTCTACTCTTTCACAGCAGCCCGGGGCGATACACACTGATCCACCTGGGAGACGTCGAGGACACGTTACAGATAGGGCAACAAGACGGAATATTTCCCCAGTGTGATTACAGTTCTGTCCATTTCGTTCAACACTATAATCAGGATTACGAGGCAAATATGAGGAACTGACGCATCGAGTATATTTTACCGCCATTTGCCATGTTTGCTATATGACCGTTTTCGAATTAAGTGGGCCATGCACATGGAATGCTTCAACACTGCTGATATGTCAGTAAATTATTTATCGTGCTGCTGTAGCTGAAGAGCTGACACACATATAATTTCACATTACACACAAGAACAACCACGCACTTGTCCACCAGTGTCACAAGATTTATCTTTCATCTATGTGCACATTTTATGGACGTCTCACTCAGTCCTAGTGTTCCGATCATTACGAACACAAACAAACATTTCATCACAGATGGCCATGGAGCGCCTGATAATGAAGGCTGTGAGGGCAGAGCAGGACACTGTGGTCATGTACGGGCCTGTCTGACTGTCTGGCCTGTCAGGCATCGAGTTAACAAACTCCAGACACCGTAGAGATTAAAACAAGCATCTGAGCAGACAACTCCAGATAACTCCCACTTACAACCTCTCCTGCCCTCACCCTGATCCACTGACATGACAAATGTATCAGAGGATCACCACATTTCTAGGCCCGGCAATGTCCGAAATAACCCAATATGTTTCCCAGCACTTGAACCATTATTAGCAATTGTCGTATGAGGTGTCGCTTGTCAGGCTGTTGAATCACCACTCTTTGCTGAAACGCTGTAAAGCCACAAACACCCTTCCACACCCAGATAATGACGACGATGAGAAGGAGCCTGTCATTTCTTTCAGCGCTTTGGTTTTCAGGTTCTGCCCTTTTTGCAGATACCTGAGGTACTGTTTGATCTCCTCTTATGGCAACAAAAGCTATTGGCTGTGGACATCAGACACCCTCACTGTACCTCTTACTGACACGCACACATGTGAGACGCCTGCGTGGCATTTGTTGTAATCTCTGGGCGTGTGACACACTCCACTATGTAGTACTCTGATAACTACAGATGGCAAAGAAGCCGCAAAAAGCACAAGAGGGAGTATCTGAGGAACAGAGTGTGACTGTGAGGACGGAAGAGCTATCGCACTGGACAGCCTAATACCAGACAGTATTGACAGTAGTTGCACATATGACACAGGCCTATTCACTGCATTTTAGAGTTAAACGCCCTTTAAATGTTGAAAATGTAAAATACTTTTCTGATAGCAATGCCAGGTCACCAGGCCCTCGCTGAGAGAGAGGTTCAGCTGTAGCAAACTGACCCACACACATAAAAGCCGAGCTCATCACTATGTCTGCCTGATGAGGTAAAACTGTCTTTAAAAGGTCAAAGGTTCGTGGCTACTGGTGATGCCCCCCCTCACCCAAGACAGGTCTCTAATCCCTGAAAACACTTGTTTATCATGTCGACCCACAGCCAAACAGCTTAAGCCATTTGCAGCTTATAATATGAGTGGTGGCTTGTGAACATAAATACCTGCATGCTGCAGGCAAAATCTCTCTTTGCCTCCGCCCTCTGGTAGCCACGTAACCAGCAACAGAGGCTTGTGTTTCCAGAGTTCTTAGAAAAGACTGGTGCTAGTTACATAAACAGCTATGGATTTACTGTGCAGCCTCATAACTTCACGTCCTCAGCTGCTGAGGCTAAGCATCGGCTAAGTAAACTTAGTCAAAGGATGTGACATCACAGGATCACTTCCAGTAGGGCGCTGATAATGTGGCTGATGTGGAGACGCTGCCAGCAGGGGTCAAAGCGCTCTTCTGAGAGGAGCGCTCACTAGCAGAGGTTACTTTCTGCAGACAGAACTTGTGAAAATATAATCCAAACTGTATGCTTCAAAATCATAGTTCTGAGATTAAAAATGATAAAAGGTCACGATGAGACATGCAGGAGAGTGATCTTTGCACACCTACATTCAGACAGATGCAAAAGGATTAAGTGAGTCTGAGAGGCAAAAATATGTTTGTTTGTTTTTTTGATGCGTTTGTTCATCAAGCTGAGATATGGTTCCACTCAATAAAAAAAAAATCACTTCAATCAATAAATGAAAAACACATCAAAATCACAGATAACTATAACAATGAATACGATCTGTTGCATATGACTGTAGACGTGGTGGAAGCTGTTTGATAGAGCAAAAAGACCCACGAAGCGTCAAAGTACTCCTCCAACAACAAGACTGCAAGACTGTTGCTCTCCACTTTGCGCTTCCAGCGTCTAATGAATGGCACACCGAGCTGTAGGTTGCCTGAATGAGGAACTCTCCATCTGTGGCGGATTACATAACACGTGGCCAGTTGCTACCAGGACCTGTGCTCCAAACTGTCACGCACAGCAGGGATATCAAATCCCTCGCTGACAATAAGACAACACAGGCAAAAACAGCCCCTGTTTGTCCTTGTATTCAGCAGAGGGAGATTCCTGGGAATGCAAGCAAATATAACAGCATGTTCGTTTTGTTGTGGTTTTATTTTCGCTGCCTTGTGGGTATACCTTAGCAAACAGCTGCTTTTGAAATCCCACGCTCTCTCTTTGGCAGTGAGGCACTGAGCTTCTGAGGACTCGAGTCTTAATACAGATCGATTTATAATGTAACTGGCTATTCAAAGAAAACCCACATCTAAAGCTGCTGCTGCTGCCGCTGATCTCCCACAAGTTCACGGGAGTTACCTGGAACTCACAAAGTAAATGTTCACAGTATTTATAAAAAGGAGCCCTTAGGTCTTACTTACTAATCTAGATAGTCATCTTATTTTCAAGCTTTTTTTTTTTTTTGTACAATAACGGTGACTAAAATCCAAAATTAACTTGAAAAATCATGAAACACTTTTGACTACCTTGAGATTTACAAGTGCCGCAATTGTTCTTTTTTCTGCATCACGATTGCTGCCTCCAGTGAGCCGGTGTAGTGACTCGTGGAGACATATGTGGAGATTTTTTCTGGTGCTTTTCAAGGAAACACAATACAACATGCTAATGATTATTTTGTCCGCAACATATATATTAGATTTTGCACGCATTCGTAAATCATTCAAAAACAAAAACCCCAAATACCAGCTGGTATCTTAACCTGCTAATAATCTACAAGAAGATAATTCAGGCATGTAAAATCATTCTCTCGCATTCTCCTGCTGGCTCACTACTGACACAACCAGCCTTCTCTGTCGTCCTGAGACAATGGAGCACTTCCACTCCACTCAGTCCACTCTGGTGTATGTATTCGTGTGTGTGTGTGTGTGTCTGTCATGCTCGGGAGTGTGCATGTGCGTGTGTGTGTGATCCTGTGGCTTGTGTTCCTGATGGGCCCCAGATGGGTTCGCAGGCAGGCAGCT